ATCACCTGGTTACATTTGGTAACATTAGATCTCCAGAATATATGTCTGATGTAGAAAGGAGTCATCAATTTTCTATTGAAAGTAATTGCCTCTTGGTCACTGTTTACCCTTAAAAATGGGGATGGCTTTCCTATGAATTCATGTGAAGTTATAATCTGAAGCAGAAATAAATAGAAGGTGGAGTCTAACTCTAGCTGTTTCTCTAAAATGAAAAAAGCTAAGCTTAATATACAGGTAATTTGATACAATGGCTACATAAAAATGTGATTATTTAGGTGGTGGTTTTAAAGATCAGTATGAAGATAAGAAGTATTAAAGACAGAGAATTTCTTTAGCTCTAGTGCTGTAATGGAATGTAGTGAGGAGGCAGGTTCCCGGGAGTGAAGGAGTGCATTCCAGAGGAATAAGAGGCAGCTCAACTCAGATATTATGTGTGAGAGAAAGAGGGTGAAGACAGCCCCTCCCTAATAGTTCCCAGGGTACATTGTAGTTGCAGATTGTAGAGACCTCAGTCTGGCAAGATTGATGTCAGGCGCACAACCAAGAATGACACATGGCAATACTTCTAAATTGAATTCTTTATGGTTTCACACCTATAGACAAAATCTTGCCAGACTGAGGACTCTGTTATTCACTGCCTTACACAAAAACGAAGTAACATTTTGTCATTTCTTATAGACTGATATGTAGATATAGATCAAAGGATATCATATTCAGCTAAGTTTCTTTCCAAATTTTGCAGTAATGGCTTTATTATTTTTAGGAACATTTAATACAAAATATATTTATGTCCAGCATCTTTGTACGATTCATGCAGATTCATGGATTTCCCACATGGCATCATTAAAATGCTGTTATTCAGTGTGGAGAAAGCTTAAAATATGGCAGCTGAAAGAAGCACTGACTACCCTCCCAGTGTCTCTTCTGCCATAGCCACAAAGCCAAAAAGGATTTCTCTTTGCTTTAGATGTGGGAGAAGAGAGAAGCAGGGTGTAGAATGCCTACTTTGGTACCTGTTACTGGCAAGGGAAGCCCTAATTATTGAGGTGGACATGGCTGAGTATGGCAGGTAGAATTTTTAGGCTATTGCAATGAAGCATGCTCAATTTGCTTGAGTGATAGGTGACAGGTGTGCAGGTGCTCTGCTTAGGCTAATTCTGAAAAGAAATCTCCAGATCTTTTTACAGCCCAAGTAATAATTAAGTCAGTAAGGTTATTTGTGAAACTGCTTCTTCCCAATTACACCTGCCCATTCCATCAGGGCTGGCAGAAGAAATATGTTGCAGGTCCTATTTGCTAAGGAATTATATCTGGTAGGACCCAGGAGATGGGCCTTTTCTGTCATGACGCCTGCCATGTGGGACATCCCACACACTCACAGAGACAAGCACACCCAAGGTGAGATTGATCCCATCTCTGTCAACATTCAAGAAGACCTTCAAAATCTTTTTGTCTCAACACACCTGGAGGTTAGAAGAGAATGATGATCTGATGAAGTAGCTCTATTGTTCATAATATCTGGCAATCTCTCCTAGTCTTTTAAAAATAAGATTAATTTTTGTACTTGAATGCTTTTTAAAATTGTTTTTAAGGTTTGATTGTATGCCACCGAGAGACATATACATATGATAAATCAAACAAACAGGAAGACTGTACCAGTCTGATAATAGTCTCCACCCCAGCATAACCCAGTTGACAATGGAATGGAGGAGGAGTGTGGGGTATTCCAGCCATTTTCCAGCCTTCAAATATGTCTGGTGGTCTGTTTCTTACCATATATGGGGAAACAGTTTTATTTGTCACTTGGTTTATAAAACTTGGTTCTGCTGCCTTGTGTGGGGGACACCAAAGACCATGCAACCTTGGAATTGGCTAATCCCATTCAAACCCCCCTCTCCTGTACTAACCATTGTTAAATGGCCATTTTAGGACTTTTGATGTTTAATTGTCTTTATTCTAGAGTTTTAAAAGTTTTAATTCTATTTTAATTTTATGTTCTTTTATTAATAATACTATATTGTACATTGCCTAGAGTCCCTCTTTGAGGGAGATGGATGGCTTAGAAATGTAGCAGGGCTGGATGAAAGGCTTTGTGGGAGCCTGCCCGAGGAGAGGGAAGCTTGATCAGCTGCTGCCGGTTTTGGGCTTGGCAGGCATGGATCAGGCGGAAGGAAAGAAAAAGGAGGAAAGAAAGGGGGTTGGGGTGGTTGCTGTTGCTGTTGCTGTTGTCAGGGAGAGACCAGGTGAAGCAAAAGAGGGATTTGAGGTTTTAATTGATCCCTTTCTCAGAAGGAGAGGGAAGGAGAGAGTGAGAGTGAGAAGGTGGAATTGTATTGCTTCTTTCGCGGTGGGGAGATATCCTGAGCAGAGGCAAGAGACAGAATGAGAAGAAAGAAAATTGCTGGAGTTGCTAAATTCAGTTTTTAACAATAAAGGAAAGAGGGGGAGAGGGTTTGACATCGATGAGACCTGAGACTGTGAGCAACAACAGAAGAGAAGGAGAGGCTGGTCGCTATTGCTTTGGAGACCAGTGGCCATCCGGACTTTGATTACTGTTACTTGTGCAAGTTACAGACATTGTGGGGAGTTGCCCTCATGGGACGAGCTGTTACTGCAGAGCACTGACTACCTTCATTTGTGTTTCCATTGCTGCCTGGAGCCAAAGTTTTCCCCATCCCCTTGTTTCCAAACGGTCGCTGTAAAATCATTGACTATTGCTGCTACAACTGCCTAGGGCTGTTAAACAACACCACTCACTGACTATCGGGGCTAGGGGCTGGTCATCTTTGTTCCTGAAAGCCCCCCTTGATGACGAGAATCTACCACCCCCTCACTTTGCGTAAGCTCCCACTGAAAAAGACACTTTATTAACACCTTGAGAGGGTAGCTGCAGAGTGCGACGGGGCTGGGAGGGCCTGGGCTTTGGCTGCCTCTGAGGGGGTAATGCTACAGAAATATGAAAATCAAACAAATAGACAGACTGGCAGGACACACAAAATTCCATTCCAGATCCCAAATACCCCAAAACAATTAAAGATGTGAAGAAGGCTAGCAGCAAGAGGTCAAAGCATCAGTAGTATCCCATGGGTTATTCAAAATGAGCAAAATGAAACTACCTCCTTGCATTTTTGTGTGATGTTCCTCGTGGGACAACAGGGAGATATAAAAAGATAAAAGCAACTACCCTGTGGCCTACTTACACCAACTATCGTTCTTTCATTTTTTCAAATAATATACCTTGGGGCCTTACTTGTACAGAAACCAGGGTATCACTGTTCCAAAGCACTTCAGGTTCATAAAGAGTCCATTTAGGGCAGGCATGTCAAACTCATACGACGTATCGCGACTTTTTTCCCATTGTGGCAATGGGGTGGGTACGGTTTCGGAGTGACGCATCTGGCCGTGGGCCGGCAGTTTGACATGTCTAATTTAGGGCCTGAGTCTTGCCCTGCAAAGCAGAGCATTGGCTGGCTTTATCAGGAAAGATTCCTTCTGATACTGAACCCTCCTTCAGGCGATCTCCTAGACCCAGGATAAAAGACTATGGAGAGCAGCTGCCATTGACCAGAAGGGAGAGGAACATTAACCAATAAGAATGGAGGCATTGCCTACAACTAAGCACCATAGACAGACTGTGTAGCTGACAGAAGTCAAAAAGGACCACTTCTGATGTGGAGCAGGAGAAGTCCGGTGAAAGCTACCTTTGCTGTGAGTTGCTGTGAGCTGAAATCACAGCCGAGGGGAGTCAGAATGTGGGGATGAGCCTTGAGTGACATTAATCTACATTTTGAAATCCTGTCAAGCAAATATTTTGCACTGATTTGAAGTTGGCTGCAGTTCATGCCACTTTGAGAATTGGTTAGCTTTATATTATAACCTTTGCTGGGTTGATGTAAAATCCAGACCTACAGGGCGAGAGAGGATGGTGATAATTAAGGAGGTTGATACCAGAAGTGCTTGTCAGCCCTCTCCAAAGCCTGCTTCTGGGATTCCTTTGTAAAACTTATTTTTTTATTTATTTTCTTTACACAAATGCACTTTTAAAGATCTCACATGAACAAATCCATCTATGATTGCAACATCTAAAATAAAATCTGCTCTTATTTGCCTAAATATTACTGAAGAATTTTTCAAAAAGCACTTCTTTTTCATCATCCTTTCTGCTCGTTTCAGTTATCACATATAACTAATTTATTTCTTTGGTATTCCAAAACAATTTTTATTAGTTTTCTATTTTACACCAACACTGCTTAAGAACCCATGTGAAAACATGGTGATCAATTTTTTTAAACGACAAACAATAACATAATAAATATATACACATTATTTCTTAAAAATTTCCCTCTCTATCTATATAGAATATTATACTCAAATTAATACATTTTCAAATGAATTCATTCATTACTATGTCTGACCATCAACTGCATTAATCAATAAAAAAAATTAATCTATAAAAACCTATATTTCTTCACACATTTAAACTAAGCTTAATAAACTCTCCATTTATTTAGAAACATTATAATCAAGTCAATATCTTTCTAAAACTAATTCATTCCCTAATATGACATTTCATCCAAGTTATATAATTAAAAATAAATTAATATTCTCTATCTATTTATATTGTTATAGGCTCATTAAAACATTTCTAAAACAAATTTTCATTGAATATATCACTCTATATAAGTTTCATTAATCAATAAAAGTTTACAAACTCATTATCCATCCCAAAGATCCTGTATCCATGCTTTCTTAATTTTGCAAATATTTAAACTTAAACTAACATATCCATTTACTATTCAGGAGCCCCAAGTGTTTTTTTTATTTAAACATTATTAACTCCAAAAATAAATTCTTCTCTTTCTGATCAATATTTTATTGTTTTTCACTGTTTCTCCAAATCTCCAATAATTAATTCCATCACTTCCCATATTTCAGTTCTTTTCTCATTATACCATCTCTAATATTAAAAAAATATATAAAGCCCTTTTAATAAAGTCCAAATCCAAATCAATCCAGATCGCTATAAAACCTTTACCACATTACTATAATCAGATTTAATATTTATATCATATTCTGGGTTTCTTTCTAATCCAAACAGGTTTCCATAATCGGGCCTCCGCCTGCCATACTATACACTCCAAAAAGGAAGCTCCTATTGTGCATTTTGTTAAATTAGTATAAATGTTATAGTTAATCTGAATGACTCATAGCAGAACATCATTTCCCCCTTCTTTTAACATTGAATAAATTTCAATTAAAGTCCTTTCTTTTATATCATCCTCTTTGCTTGTGTTTTTCTCTTCTTCCCATGTTTTTTCTCTATCTCAAAATCAAATGGTGTCTGCAGGCCAACTTGTCCTTATGAAGCAAAATCATCCAGTTCCTTATCATAAGTCCTTTGTCCATTGATATCAACTCTTTTTTCCAAAATCAATTGATTGTCCAACTGTGAGTTTACTTCTTCCACCTCAGTTAGCGGAGCACAAGCCTCTTATGTGTAAACTGATGTTTCACTTAGTCCTTGTCTTTTGCCTTGTCGATACACAGAAATCTCCTTTGAGCAAGCAATTATCTTCTCCGTATTTTCCAAAATTTTGTCCAAAATATACTTATAAATAAGATCTACACCAATTTCCTCCATCTTTATTATATTTCAAATCCTTATCCTTTTGAAGGAGACTATATTTAAAAAACAATCACAATATCCATCTCCTCCCAGTTTTCTTGTCTTTTTCCTTTGTACAAAATGAAAGCCTTTCCAGCGAAGAAAAGATAACAAATACAATAAATAAATTTGTCAAAGAGTGTCCCCCAGAAAATAGTCAGATGTTCAATCCTTCCGGCCACCATAAAAGCAAACAATATTCTCCAAAAATTATAAAAAACTTTCTTGAGGCTCCCAATATCCAAAAATAAAATCAACCATTAAAACAAAAGTAGGTTTACTTTGTGCTTCTCTTTCCCCATTTAAAAAGCTGCTTCACCAGAAAAGGGAATAATTCCAAGAAAAAAAAACTTTTCACAGGCGTAAAGAAAATAGAGGTGAAAGGAAAGTCTCACCGAGTTCTCCATGGTGGGTCCGTTTGCTTAGCTCAGCGGTTCTCAACCTGTGGGTCGCGACCCCATTTGGGGTTGAACGACCGTTTCACAGGGGTCACCTAAGACCATCGAAAAACACATATTTCCGATGGTCTTAGGAACCAAGACACCGCTCCTCTATCCATCTCCAAGCAAGGGGAGAAGGAGGCAGAGGAAAGCCCAAGCAGAGAAGGATCTGGCCCAGCGAGGGCGGAGCCATGTTCGGGCGCTGCTTCTGGAGCTCACAGATGCTGGCCCGGCTCTGGCGTGCTTCAGGGTAGAGGTTGTCTGCTGTGTTGCCGCTGGGAGCCTTAGCTGGCTAAAGCGCCTTTCAGAGAAAGAGCCCTGCTTTCCCCTGCAGGGTGACCCAGCCAGCAACGTCCCACTCTCGTCGTTTCAGGGAGGAGGGAGAGGAAGAAGAAGAAGAAGGCATCTGCCCAGCAGGCTGCTACCTCTGCCTCCTCGCGATGGAGAAGTGCTTTGAGGCAGATGGCAGGTTATAAAACTGACGCTCGGCTCAAAGGGGGGATGGGCAGGCCTACGAAGCCACTGCTCCTCCGTGGGCAGACAGATAGCTGGACGGCTAGGAAAGTTACCCAACTCTTCTGCTCTGGAGGAAGAAAACCAAGCTTCGAGATCTCACGAGCAGGCGCGCAGACGCGACTGAGCTTGCAACAAGCCCGGCAAGCTTTACATTAAGGTGGGTGGTTTATAAAAGGAAGGAGCAGTCTCCTCATGCTCCGGGGTGGGGGAGGGATGGTGGTATGTTTGTTTGCTTCCCTGAAAAAGCTTCTCAGGCCATCTCCATTGCTAAAAGATAATGCCCTTGCTTTCCTATGGTGTTAAAGGTGTCCTACGTTAGGAAAAAAACAAAACACAATCCCCATACAAAAACAGTCCACCCGTGATAATGCAAAACCTAATGAAGAGCGTAGCTGTTTTTATTACTCTTATCACAACTCTGAGAAGTTGATGGCAGTTGCTGCACAGGAGTTAACTGAGCTTCCAGATAGCCCATCCTTACACAATTGGAAGTTTGCATTAGATCCACTAAATTCCCAGTGATAGATCACACTAATGATAAATGTGGGAGCTTTGTTCCTACTTATGTGGTGGACATAAAAGTATAGTAGCTTTTTCCTCTTTTCCCACGGCAGCTGATTCCCCCCTCCTCTGAGATCCCTGCAGCCCTCCTTAAGACAGCACATACTTTTTGATTCCTGCTGCTCGATCCTTGATGGCTTCCTACTTGTGGGATGCGGGGGAAGGAAGCACCATTTCACTACAGGTGGGAGAAGGAAAACTGGTCCAGGCAGTGAAAAGGGAAGAGATCAAGATGGGGGGCTTTGGAGATGAAAGCTGTTTTGGGTGGATGTTTTGGTCTGCAGCATGTGTTTCCCTTTCTCCTCCTGCCTGCCTTATCTCTGTTTCCTAGTGTGCCTCTGGAAAGCCGGGAGGGGGGGGGGAAATGAATCTGCTCCTAGTGTGGAATCAAGAAGCTCCAAGAGGCCTTTTCTTGCAGTTGCTGCAGTAATGCTCCCCATTCTTCCTGCCCTGGCTGCTGCACCAAAAGCAGTTGATTATTGCTCAGTGGAACCAGCAGTGGGGTGGAAGGAAGGAATGGATTTCCCTTCTGCTGCCTCTGCCTCAGTGGACAAGACCTCCTTCCAAAAATCTCTAAGATTCTGGCAGGCACAGCTCCAGAATTGAGCTATGCTGGCTCAGGAATTCTGGGAGTTGAAGTCCACGAGTCATAAAAGAGCCAAGGTTTCCCTTCTGCCTTCTTCAGAGAGAGAAACTCTGAAGGTCATTAGGATCAATTTCCTGGAAGGACAGGCGTCCTCCTCCACACACTCAGTGAATTTCAGCTAGAGGTAGAAAAATGGACAGTGGCTAAGGCTGAAAAGGCAAATTGTGTGGGCCACATCACACACATGGACAACAAATGTCTACAAGTATAGCTCCCCTTGAGTATCACCTCAACTAATCCTTATTTTCTCCCACCCCATAAGCACTTCTCCCCATACACAATCATATTAATTTTTCACAGGTCATGCTTAACCTAATCAGGCAACTTCAAGGGCTCATTTAAAGAAGAGAAAAGGTCAGGTATCCCTTCAGAGCCATAGGTGGAGCACCCATGCTTCAAAATTTCATTTATTTGTAATTAGAAATAAATATTTCACAATATATAATTACATATTGTTTTTGTGATTAATCACTATGCTTTAATTATGTTCAATTTGTAACAATGAAAATATATCCTGCATATCAGATATTTACATTACGATTAATAACAGTAGCAAAATTACAGTTATGAAATAGCAACGGAAATAATTTTATGGTTGGGGGTCACCACAACATGAGGAACTGTAGTAAAGGGTCACAGCATTAGGAAGGTTGAGAACCACTGGCTTAGCTGATCTTGTGGCTTGCAGTTGGCGCAACTAAATGATCGGCCATTTTACTGGCCAATCTTTACCCTGTCGGCCCAAAAGAGATACTTGGTGCACAGAGGACGCCGCCACTCCTCTGCAACTATCCGAGAAGCCTCCTCAATGGTAGACACTCCTCCAGAGTGTCTTTTCAACCCTCTAAGGGGTCTACCGGCAGAGGAAACTCGATCGGCAAAGGGACAACTCTCTTCGCTCGACCACACCGCCGCAAACTGGAACCGGAAGCCCCTATTTCTTTGGTATTAATATGATACTAATAGTCTGTATTTATTTCTCATCATTTGTGATTTTCTTGTGAATTATAAACATACTATTATTTACTGATAGCTATACTAACATAAATGTTTCTATCTTTCCCTGCCCTTTGGTAATTTTCATTTGGTGAAAGCTTACCCACTAACAGAAGTTTGCATACACTCTAGTAAGATGAGAATTTTTTTCCCCTGCAGGTTTGCATTCTGCAAAGAATGCAGAATAATCCTGGAGTACCAGGATACTGAATGTTCTCTCAGATCAGTCTTGTAGAGCAAAATGAATGTTTTTAATCAGAAAAACTGCGAGTAGTTAGGATTATTGTTAGAAAAAGAAAATTGTTGTCTTAAGAAAGGCTTCCACAAAGAGTAGCTGGAGAGTTCAACAACAGATGTGTAGATGTATTATATATGTATATAATATAATACAAGGTAATTCCTCCCCCTGTCTCTTCCCTCCCTGACACAGCTGACAAAGTGAGAAAGAGCCTGTGGCCTAGAGGTTAACACAATTGCTTAACATGCAGACAGCCCAGGTTCGAATCTCAGAAGGGTATGTCTGGTTGAGGAGAACTAAAAAGTTTGAAATAGCTATTCCATTTTCCCTTAATTCTTTGTTAGCAATCCAAATTTTATAATATAAATGATGTCGCAGTTGCGACTGCTGCCTGTGGATGGCTCTAGTTTGAGCTGATACAAGGCAAAAAATTTCTTTCTCCCATATTTGGGTCGAAAGGATACATCAAAAAGCACTCAAGGTAATTCCTCCCCCTGTCTCTTCCCTCCCTTACACAGCTGACAAAATGAGAAAGAGCCTGTGGCTTAGAGGTTAACACAGCTGCTTAACATGCAGACAGCCCAGGTTCGAATCTCAGAAGGGTATGTCTGGTTGATGAGAACTAAAAAATTCAAAATAGCTATTCCATTCTCCCTTAATTCTTTGTTAGCAATCCAAATTTATATATATATATATATATATATATATATATATATATATATATATATATATATAAAATTAACCTAAAAATTGAGGAAAGTAGTCTCCTTGGTGTATACATATTCAAAAGATAAAAACGAGCACCAGGAGGTAAAACAATTAAATGTTTAATAAATAGATAACTTAGCTTTCGATGGCTGCCATCATCGTCAGGGTGTTAAAAGCCAGAGGGTGGGGAAGCTCGTTTATAAGCACAAACGCGCCTGCACACGGCTCATAGACCTCGTTATGCGGCCCGGTCGATTGATCCTCCCATCACTCATGTCAGAAGTATTTCTGAGTTCTAAGTTCTTGCAGCTGATTACTTCTCTGTTGCGTGCAGCTCCTAGGCTGGGAGGCGAGCATTCCATGTCACTTCGCACCAGAGTAACCTGTGTAATTGCAGACCGATCCTGCAATGAAATCCCGGATCCAGCTATCTCCCTCCCCCGTGTCTGACGTATCACTCTCAGGGGGCATGCCACCCCATCCGTGCTTCTATCTTCCCCTATAGCCCCCAACCCGCCGCCCTTCCGTGCGTGAGATGCACAGCAGTTCGTTGCGATCTCCGTTTCTGTCAGTTTGGCATCCGATTCAACTCTCCCCTCGAAGGAAATTCCAACTGCGGTCTTCGCGCGTGCACCCTCACGCTTCCACCGTGCTACTTGGGAACGCGTGATGGGACCCTTAATGGGGCGGTTGCAATCATCATCCACTCCAGGGGTTCCGATCTTCAAACAGGCATCCAAGCCAGGTACAATAAGCGAATCCTCCGGAACACAAGCACCAAAATTGCCACGAGGAGAGCTGTCTTGTTTCATCTCAAGAGTGGGGGGGAGGAGTGCTCTATACCATTCAGTCGGTCAGATGCAATATCGAGGAGGGGGAGGGGGAAGGGGAGGAGTGTTCGGAGCATCCAGGGCACCAGGGGGTGGATTGCTGTTGTCAACAAATTCTTCGTTCATCAACGGGTGCGCGCAGGAATTGCTAATAGCTGGGGGCACTCCAGATGGTAGGGTCGCCCTTACCTCATTGTCAATCTCTTTGTTGGGACAATCGAGATTGCAAACATTGGGGTGCTTCCTCCGTCTGGAACAAATGCGTGCCTCCCAAGCTTTCATGACCTGGTGTGCAGGATGTAACTCCACATATCGATTAATAGACTTACAGTCCGAGAACCAAGCCTCTTTGAGGAGTCTGCCGCTCTTGGAGGCATCACTAGCAATAACCTGCACCCCATTGAAATCAAACTTGTGTCCAAGCTCTACCATGTGAGTGAGGATCTGCGAATAGTGCTCCCCTCTTTTTATTGCCAGCTTGTGTTCCTGTATTCTTGTCCTTACTCTTTTAGAGGTTTCTCCCACGTAATTACCTGGGCAATCCATACAATGGATTCTATAGATCACCCCAGATTTCTCAGTAACGGGGAGTGGATCTTTCAACCTCATGATACAGGGACGCAACGTGCAGTCCGGTCTATGTGCCACCCTTATTCCATAGGGTGACAATAACCTAGCCGTGGCTTCAGAAACGTTACTGACATAGGGGAGAGTAATACGTGTAGTCTGTGGAAGTAGCTCCCCAATAGGTGGGTTATGGGTAGGTCTGGATAGAGCACTGTGGAGCCTGATGAATTTATTGGGGTATCCATTACATCTACAGGTATGGAACAGGTATTTCCTTTCTTCAGCCTTAGCTTTGGCTGTGCTGCAGTGTGAGTCAGCTCTTTTAAAAAGGGTTCTAATACAGCTGACCTTGTGGGCCACCGGATGGTTGCTGTTAAAATGCAAGATCCTATCGGAATAAGGGTAATAATATTAAAAATATGAACCCTGGGTATATTCATGTTAAAATAAAATGAGCACCAAGGTAATTAAAACTATAAAAGTTTAAGCCCTGATGATGCCAGCAGGTGACAGCGAAAGCTTGGCGTTTTTAAATTAAACTTTTATAGTTTTAATTACCTTGGTGCTCATTTTATTTTAACACACACACACACACACACACACACACACAC